TAACTCTTTGGTTGCTCAAGCCCAGTGTTCAAGTGGGCAACCACAAGGCCTGCCTCCCATTGCCCCTGAGCCTGTGCTGCTGCCACCATTGATTCGCAGCCATCAAGCTCTTGCTGGTTGCCTAACAGCTCCGGCTGCGGATCCAAGAGTCCCGGTGGGTCCAACCCCTTCGGTGGTAGAGCTCAGCATAAAAATGAAAAGCTGCCTGAGATATCAACTGGTAGCCTACCATTTGCACTCCTCAGCTTTTTCAGCTTGTCAGAACCAATCTCGGAAGTCAACCACGCATGCCGTCACATGCCGGGAGAAAACATGAACTTGGGCTGGCTGACTTTAAAGGACATGTCATTAATTACTCCACGCAACTTTCTCTCTCTCTCTCTCTCTCTCCTCCTGGGTGTGCGACTCCGCTTCTGGCGCTGGCGCTCTTCCACCAAGGACCTCAAGCACATGGTAGAAGCAGCTTATGTTCAAGCGGCTGGGTGTTAGCTATGTAATAAGGGACCCCCTTGGACGGTGCCATTCAGCAGGCCATGGGCTCCCTCTGTTTGTGATGGGAGGGGAACGGAAGTGCAAGTGTAGCCAACTTCCAACTTCAATTGAAGGCCACCAATCAAGCAGACCTGAAGTTCACGCAATTGCTGTCTTGTGGGACCACCTCAACCCGTCACATTTCGCGGATGAGACTCCAAATGTGTCTTAGTTGTAAAACATAAAAAAAGAAGATATCCATTGCACCATATCACTATTGCAAGTTGCCCCAGCCTTCCTTGGCTAAGCCAGGCAAGCCGGTCATACCCGTCACAGCCCACAGCCCACAGCCCACGGGTCCCACGTGCAGCTGGGGGCGCTGCGATGCAGCTTGGGCGGCCTGGCGAGCGAAACTCCCATGGGCCCGCGCCTGTTGGGAAGTGGAGTCCCTTCAACGAAAGCAAAGCAAAGTCAGGGTGGAACGGTTCGCGAATTTGGAGAGAAAGCGGGTCCCTACGCATTTCGCGTCTCTGTTTCTGCCTGCACGTGTGAAACGTGAGACGTTGGGGATGCTCGGCTGAAATGATAAGTTGTGAAGGAAAAGGCAATGGGCTGACAGCCTTGCCGCGTGGGCCATTGCAATCACGTGCTGCTGCTCAGCTGACTTGACTGAAGTCTAACCGTACACCTTCTCAAGCGCTTAGGCTTCAACTTGTCTGCCTGCTGCATTGTTGAAACTTAACATCTGTTGCCCAGTAGACATTTCTCTGCTTTTCATCGGGAACCATAAACCATAGGAAAGGGTCCCCGCCCCTAACCTTTTGAAACAATATGTGGCCCTGGTAAATGGCATAAAACCACTCTAAACCAGGGCCGTCTATTTCCAAACTAACCCAGAAAAGACACCTATCTGGGTGAATTATGATATTTCACCAGCCTGAAATAAGGGAGCTATTCCCCACATAAAACACCATTTGGGGTGAGGTCGTGTGAGGTCGTTATAATTCACCCAGACCTCTGGTCCCCTCCCTTTCCCGCCAAACTGAAGTGCTTGGCCGTGCATCCGTGAGGGCCAACCCCGTCGATCCCAGGCGCACAGGAGCCAACCGCATCGACTCGCCTGGACGTGTTTGGCAGCCATGGCCTGTGACTCCGCCACCAGCTCCTCGTTTCGAGCCTGCGACGCAAAAGACAACGGCAAAAGGGGCCCTCTGAAGGCCCAGAAAAGACCCCCAACCCAAAAAAAAGAACACACACACACACAAAGCGCACAAGAACAAGCAGGCAACAACCAGGTCTGAACAACTTTTGACCTAACACCCCAGTTTAACTTGTGACGGAAAGATAGGCTCTTGCGTTTCAGCTGTGAGCAAATGACCACGGGGCTTACGAAGGTTTGGCGCCTGGGTGAAAGACATTGGGCCCCCCTGAAATTGGTCTTCGATTGAATTTATGTAGCATGCTATAAAAGGCATTCTGAAAGAATATAAACGTATTGTGATCGACTAAAGAGGAACTTGTGTTTATAAGAGGGAGGTCTGAAAAGAACTTCCATGGAGCTGTTTCAATGGGAAACCAAAAGGAGGTTATTCACATAGTGCTTTGGACATGTTCGAGCCACAAATTTGGGCTCGTCTTGGGATTGGATTTTGACAAATATCCTAGAGCAAGCCACACGTTTTGTTTGGACCCTGAGAAGAAATGCACGTGAAGCAGCTCAAGAGATTGGGGAGGGGTTTCGACCTACCCATGTGTGATCCAAAGATGGCTGGTCTTTGGTGGCATCTTGGCCCGTTGAATCTTTGGAAACTCTTTGATCTTCCAATGAGACTTCGCAAGGGTTCAGTTTTGCTCAAGAGGGGAGTCCCCATTTGCAGGCGGGCCTTCGCTTGTGCAAGCCGAGTTGGTTTTTCTGCAAGGTCTGCCAAGCGCATTTCGAGCCATGAGCTACGTACAAGATCGTATTACTGTGCTTCTATACTGGATGTGCCCATCTTGGTGATTCCTGCTTGCAACAATCAAACCTTTGAGTGTTGCAAGGCGGGTTTGCCGTACATACACCATCACGCCACTGTTGCCGCCCAGCAACCTGGTACTGGCAGCATGTAGCTAGAGAGCCGTTCTGATTTACAAGTTGAATTCACGTGTGGGATGGGAATTGCTTCTGTTGATCTCGAATTGTTCAGCTTGTTCGCCATGAGTCGCAGTCGTTGGTTCTTCATCAAGCTGTTGGCTATCACGCACCTGGGCCATCAACCTAACACCGGAGCTGCCAAAGCACTGCAAAGTGAAGGCAAGACAAACAAATCGTGCTAAGACTAGGTCCTCCAGTAGAGAGGAGCTAGAATAAGTGTACCTTTTTTTTTCTGTAGTCTATCTTAGCAGGGTGTTTCTCCCCCAAAAAAGAAACGGTAAAAGGGCACTACTGGGGGACCTTGGTGTTGTAGGTTGCCCCTTCGTCGGCCTGCGCCCTTCGCAGCTGCTGCTGCTGGCCCTCCGCCGTCGCACGCCTTGCCGCGACCGGCTGGGACATCTGGGGTACGGAAAAGCATACATTTGTCTGCTCCCTACTCCATATGCCCTCTTTGTTTAGGGTATGATGTGGACCCTCAACTAAAAAAGGAGGTATTTACCATGGAAACCCAGGTTTTTCAAAAAAAACAACTGAAACAAGTGGGTATTTGGAGTAGGGGGTGACTCTGGTTCACTGAATTCAGGTTTGGGCTTGCCCTGCATAGTACGTCCAGGCAGAGGAGCCCCCAACCTTTGGCATTCATGTTTTACTGGGTCGCCCCTTGCCTCCTTTCAAGGGACCTTCGTCCACCAACCAGGCTAGAAGAGGGTTGCCCACCAATTATAGGTGCTAACGTAGGAGTCCCAGGGTCCAAAATGAGAACGTCCATCCCTTTTTGGCTGCATCTTGAAGAAACTGCCACTATTGCGCACCCAACTTTGAAGAGTAAAAACTCACCCCACCTGACATGGAACCTGGCAAGGCCCTCCGGCGCCCTTCTCGGTTCCAATCATGTACGGCCTTGCCCGCCCATTCTGCGGCCCGGGCAGCTCTTGCAACGCCTGACGAGAGACGGCAAGTGCGTTTTCTAGGCCGTGGCCATGTTGCGTCAACTGCACCAATTACTCTATGTCACATACTGGACAGCAACCCGGCAGTGGACCTTCATACGAGCTTTGACTCAATCTCCGGTGAGCTGCTAACAAGTTGCGCTGGGGGTCACTTCAACTAGCCATCTCAGAGTCAAAACCACCAACGGCCTTGTGTAGTGGCTGGGAAGCCGGGGAGAGACGGGGGTAGAAAAATCAAACTATCAGCTCCTTAAATGGACACCCAAAAGAGCGATTTGATATTCGAATGCCCAAACTGCTGTGCATAAGTCATGAGACTGAGCCCTTCATCCTTGCCCTGTGGCACAATACACAGGCTTGACGCTGTTGTGTTCATGGAATGCTGGGTGCAAGGATGACTATTGGGGTTGCAGGCCTTGTGCGTGGCGACAACATGTCTGCGTTTTGCTTCCAAGTTGGAGTGGTGATCGTAGCCCGCATTCAGCGTATCCATTGTTTGAGTTGGACAAAGTTCCCGATTTTCGTCTGCTGCATTTGCCTGCTCCCTCGAAAAGACAGCAAGCAGCTCATTCACAGTTCACTGAACCTGGCTTTTGGATGAATCTTTAACGATTCACTGACCCGACAGCAACAACCCCGAGTGACGCATCATTTCTTTCCGCTGGAGCGGCGATCCCAGGGCTTCTTGAGATGTGTTTGATTGCAAGGGGCAAAAGAGGCGACACGTATGTGACGTATTCCTCTTTCCTGTACTCAAGGTGACTGTGCTACATGCTAGAGGGCCTGGGGAGCAAATCCGCCTTTTGCAATCACCTGCTAGCCGGTGGGCTGAATCCACTGGCCTCCCGGCGCCGAGAAGCCGTGGAGCCCAATATCCCGAGTGCCTCGGCCAGTTGTCGCTCCTTCTGCCTGGCGTCCTGCGAGCGAATTCAAGGGGACACCTGGATGTCGTCAACGCTTTTCCGAAAACGCCATTGACAGCAATCAGGCTCCAGAAATCTCCAGAACAGCATGAGATGTGAGGTAGCCTCCGGGCAACAAAAACAATGATGGATGTGCAAAGGCCCTGTTTGAAAGGTTACCGTATGCTCTGGAAAGAGCCATTCTGCACACCTTAACCAGAAGCAGCATAAAAACCAAACCAAAGTTTGAACGCACTGCCACCAACATGAGTCTCGAAGCAAATGAGACTGCACCTGGCCACGGGCGCCAAACAAAGTCACACAAGGTGAACAGCACATGCCAGGGTGCGGCCACTTTGGCCTCTTAGCATCTTTGCTGTAGTCTGGTTCCACGCAAGTCTACAACGACAGAACTCTCCGTAGCGCCTGACTACTCTCAACAGGCACTTGCTTGACGTGCTGTTGTGACCTAGTCGATGCGGGACGCAGCAATGTTTCACCGCACCATAGCGCGAGATCCGCGCGAGTCGCAAAAAAGAGGTTTCAGCTCAGGGGCCCCTTTGGGCCGATGTGCAGCGAAGGTCGATGCCTGGCCATGCAGGGAACTTTCACCGGTACCATTTTCTTATCGGCCTTCGCGTCCTTCGCGTAGTTGGCACACAGGTTGTGGAAGGTCTCCCTGAGGCGAGTGTCATACTTCGTGAGCCCGTCAGCCCACATGATGCCCGTGGGAACCCAGTGCATTTGGCTGGGCCGCACCGTCTCCTGGATCGCCCTGATATTGATCATGGACCTGCGGTCCGCCAGGTTGGGGTTCTCGGCGATCACAGCGTCGTACAAGCTTTTGGCGTCAGTCACCTGCTTGGACGGGAGTCTGCATCTGGCTCGGTGCGCTTCCACATTGTGCAAAATCTCGCTGATGGCGAAGGCTGCCCTGTCTGCCCCCTCATCAGCGGCTGATGCTTCGGCCGCCAGAGTGCTTCGGCAGATGCGACTGCTTCTGCCTGATTTCCAATCCACCACCGCAAGAGGCGAAATGGCCTGGTCCACCGAAGGGGGAGCCAAGCCAACCACCACACCAAACTGCGAGCCGCCCTTGTAGGCGTTTGCCCAAGACCACAACGGCGGTGGCCTTGTTGATGGGAACCTCCTCAATGACCATGCCGAGGCCGGGGGTTGACTTGGCGAACTCAGCCGTCTCATAGAGGACCTTGAGCTCGTCAATAGTTGACTCTGGGCCTCGATTGCTCAGGCTCACAGCTGGACCAAGGCTCCGGACGTGACTGTCCGGCCAACCACTGCAGAGAACCAGCCACACTTCTGAATTCACCCCTCTCCGCATCGGTCAGGGCTTTGTCGCCTTGAAGACGCCCACGTGGTAGCCTGCAGGCATCAAGTCCTTGAACGAACTCCTCTGGGAAATGAGCAGCCGGTGCTTATCATTCTTCCTGACCAGCCTCAGCTCCTTGCCCTTGAAAACCACCTCCTTATCGACATCGAGGTACTGGAACGCACCCCATTCGAATAGCTTGATCACCTCGCTGAGGTCATAGTCCTCCCGGTGAACTCCGAGAAAATCATCCACGTAGATCACGATGATCGACAGGATCTGGTCGCCGTCGTACTTGAGGAAGCACATCTTGTCGAAGGCGTGCATGCGATAGCCGTTGCCGAGGAGACGCCGCTTGATTTCCTGGCACCAAAGCCTTGGTGCATTTGCCAATCCATTTACATTCCCCAGGATCTCATAGATCTCCGCACTGCATCTGCCGGTCTTGTCGATCAGGCCGTCTCGGGGAGCCCACATGAAGATTGGAGCGCCTCGCTCATCATCGGGCTGCTTGCCCTGAAGGAACGCCGTCTTGGCGTCAGCGAGCCAGCCGCGCCACTTGTGCTTGGTGGCTCCTGCCGTGATGATGCTGAAGACCATGTGCTCCGTGAGGCGGCTTGGAGTGGGCGCGTCCCTGCTGATGTGCTTCAGGTCGGGATCGGTGCATCCAATGCACACTACCCGGCATTTGGCCTTGATCTCGCCAGTGCCCCGGTTCTTGTCCCTGTAGCAAGCCCGGGACCTTATGATCCTCCTGGAGAGGTTCTTGTCCCTCAGCACCTTCGCGGCCTCTTCGCGTGACAATGGTCGCACTGAGCTCCACTGCGTCCATGCGTCGTGCTCGACCTCGGCGGCGCGCAGGAACTTGTCCACTGCGTGGGGGCCCATTGCAAAAATCTCACGCCATGGTAGTTCGCGGTCGAGCTGCTTCCGTTCCCGCCGGGTGAGTCCTCGTTGGTCTGGAGGGACCGTGTCTTGGTCGCTATCATCCGTGCTGTCGGACTCAGTTGGTTCCTTGCCCGGCGGAACATCGGCCTTCCTGTGGTCTGTGGTGAGGTAGGCCTGGTGGAAGGTCCGGCTTTGTGGGCCGTATCCAAGGTCGGGGCTACCATCAAAGTCGTAGCCGGTCCTGGCGAAGGTGCCGTCGTGCTCGTCTTTGAACTGGTAGAGGACGTCGGAGGTGCGCTTGGCTGGCAGTATGTTGTCGTTCATGTTGGCTGCCTCGGCAGCTGGTGCTGGTTGCTGTGGTAGTGCTTGTGCTGGTGGTTCCAGTTGTGGTATGGAAGGGGCAAGTGGATTGGAGGATGCTGGTGTTACTGATGGTGCTTGTGGTGCCTCTGCTGTGGCGATGGTATCATGTGCGAGCGTGCTCGGTGCTGATGCTTGTGCCGCCGCCTGTGCGGTGCTTGCTTGCTCATCATGTGCTTGTGGCAGCGTCGCCCGTGTGTCTTGGCTGCCAAGCGCTTCTGATGGTGGAGGCGCTTGTGGTGCTGCGCTAGCCGCCGGTGCTGTGTGGGTCGTGATGGAACGTGGCCTGTTGGGTGTCCGTGACTTTGTCCTCTTCGGAGTCATTGGTGGTCCGAAGCGCTGGTACTGGTGCTGGTGGTACTCCGTGCGCTGGTGCGTCTGCTGATCAACCTGGACCTGAACGTTCTGCTCGTGCACAGAGATCTCTGGACGTTCTGGTACTCCTTGAGGTGATGGTTGTGGTTGAGGTAGATCAGCGCGTGGTTGCGCGTCCACCAGTGGTAGTACAAGATCTTCTCCTCCTGCGGCTTCAGCTGGTTCGAAGTCCACCTCGAAGCCGTCCTCGATTGGCGCAGGACCACGTTCATCATTCCATAGTCCATCACGTAGTGCTACCGCAGAGTTTTTGAGGGCCTGACATCGGACTCATCCGGGCACCACTGCTCAAAGCCAGCGGCCGCGCGCAGCTGCTCGCTGCTAACCAAGGTGGTAGTAGTTGAGGTCCTCACCCAGGCATTCTTGCCCACCGCGTCGGGGTCCCAGCCGAGGAACTTGGCCGTGACCCATGCGCCTCGCTTGCGGCTCCCGATCTTCCTCCATCTCCAAAAGGCACATCGGTCTCCTGCAGATAGATCGGAGATCCCGGTCTTCTTTGTCTTCCTGGGGATGGCGCGGCGGATGGCCTGGTCTGCATTGAGGTCGTGGATGTGCTTGATAGCCTCGCTTCGAAGAAGTTCTGCTCGAAGAGGTCCATTGCAGTCTCCTGACTTGGTGATGATGCCGGTCTCGGTGTCGAAGATGCCGGTGAGTTTGGGCACTCGTCCAAAAACTGCTTGAAAAGGTGTCCCCTTTGTGTAGGTGCTGCTGTTGACCGCGTGCACGCCCGCCAGGATGGCATCATCCAAGTCAAGGGTGTTGAGGGCGGCGTACTGATCTACAAGGTGCTCAACGATGGTCCTCAAAATGGCGTTGCGGCGCTCAACGCCGCCGATCTGCCAATGGGCCTCGGCGGGGCAGTAGTCGACACTGACGCCGTGCTCGGTGAGCCAGGCATAGAAGTCACCCATGTATGCTCCATCAGGGTCGGCTCAAATCGCTACTGGTAGTCCATAAGGTCGGATCCACATCTCCTTGAAGGCCTGGAGGGTGTGGATTGGTTCCCGTCCTGGAAGCCGTTTTGCTTGATGGAAGTTGGTGGCGCGATCTGAAGCTCCCATGACACAGTGGTTGGTGCCGTCTAGGGTGCGGATGTAGAAGTTGTCAATCTGGACCTCGTCGCCAAACTGGCCCACCACTGAACTGGTAGTAGCCGCTGGTCTCGGCCGCTGGGGCTTCTTGAGTCGCTGGCAAGTGGCACATTGTAGTGCCCGCACTGCTGTGACCACAGCAGTTGGAGCTCTGTGCCTTGATATGCCAACATCCTCAGCAGCTCCTGTGACGTAGGGTGGCCGAGGTTCAAATGCAGGCGCGCCACTGATCGCCTAATCTCGACCGGTATGTCTGGGCTGAGGCCTGGAAAAGTGACGTCGGTGGACAACCCGGTAACCGGTAGTCCCGGGCCCTTCTGCTCCTCGCCGATGGCTGGTTCCTCGATCTCGTCGGGGAAGCCGTAGAAGAAAATGGCGAACTTCACGGGCTTGTTGAACCTCTGTTTCGGGAACCTCACTGCAGCCACGTCCTCGTACTCCAGCTCCTGCGTGCCGTCGGTGTACTGCAAGAAGGTTTTCGGTGAGTGAAGGCGATGTCGGTCGGGAATCTCCGCACCGTGGGGACTGGTGCTACCTGGACGCGCTCGAGTTTCCAGCGCGTCAGCTCGCTGATCAGGATGCCGATCTCGGTCTCAAGGCCGACCTGGAAGGGGCGCTGCGATGTCCTGGCGATCTGGTCCTGGAGCTTGGTGATGACCGGTTCCCATCTGCGGACATCTTGAACTGGTACTTGAACCCAGGCATTGTAGCGCTCGGAAAAACGCTGTGGCTGTTTGCGCTTGGCCATGTTCTGTACCTCCTGAAGGATAACGTGGACCATGCCGGAGGGGTAGATCTGAGAGTGCTTGGTCTCGGCGCCCTCGATGGGCTTGCAGTAGTACTTCTGCTCCGGCGTGAGTCGTTGGGAAAGCTTCTCCAGGTGGCCAGGGCTGTTGGACGCAACCTTGAAGGGCTTGATGACCGGAAAGCCTTGGGAATCCTCGCCAGTACGCCCCCGAATCGAGGACGCTCGTGCCAACGCCAGGAGTGGCCAGTAAGTCAATCACCCGCGGCTGTGCCCACAACCTCGAGCGAAGGGGGTTCTCCAGAATGAAGAACCTGTCCTCGGCATCTTGGATCTCGCAAACGTCCACGGCCAGGTCCAAGAGCGGTTGATCTTGTTCACGTAGTCGAAGTAGCTCGTCCATGCGGTGGGAGTAGTTGAGGTTCTCATTGAAGACATTGAAGTGCGTGCAGGGCATGCCGATGATGACCATCAAAGGCTTGAGGCGCTTGATGGCATTCCTCACCTGCTCCCGGTCCTCGGCGCGGTAGAGGTCCCAGCCGTACTTGTAGTCGACGGGCTCCAAGGCGTTCAGGTGGTAGTGCTTGGCATTCCGCGTGATGTCCGCCTCGCCCGCAAACAACTCGTAAATGTGGATCTGATCCTTGGAGTCCTGATGGAAGCTGATCTGCAGGACGTCCACGGAGACCCTATTCGCTGGGATGGCGTTGTAGGTCAGCTGCTCCATCTCGAGAACCTTGGCCGCCTTGTTCCAGTCGCCAGTCAGACGGCGTCTTGCTCCCAATCGTAGTTCTCCTCCGACTCGTAGCCGTCCAGATCCTGCTCCTGGTTCTGGTAGCTGTCCTGGAGGAGGTCCCAAGGAGTACTCAAAGGAGGCGATCTTCTCGTAGAGGTCGTTCGCGGCGCCGCTTTGGAAGTAGGAGCTGCCGGCCCCCCCATCTTGTTTGCTGCCTGAGCTGGTCGATCCTGCAGCGGTACCCGTGGTGGTGGGGCCTTCACTGTGTTCGAAGATGATGGCAGCGGCAAGGACGAGGATTTGCCCGAGCTTGGCACGGAGGGCCGGGTAACCCACTTCTCGCTGCTGTTGTCCCAGACCCACTTGACCTTGCAGTCGGCGCACTGGGCATATCGTCCGTACTTGTTGCCGCTTCGTTTGACGTGCAAGTGGCTGCACTCCTCGGGCAGCTGATCCATCTTGGGTGGAGTTGCCTCCAACAGCCATTCCTTGCTCCGGATGCCGATGTGCACTGCTCGAGCCTAGCTGCATGAATCACCTCAGGTGGGGGATCGCTCCACTTGGTGGTCTCTGCAAGGTGCTCCCACAGGTCCAGCTCGTTGGGGGCCTCTGGAAAACTCATGATGTTGACACACAAATGTCCCTGATGCATGTGGATCGGAACCGTAACCCCGAGCTCCCTGTTGATTGGGGAGGTCCAAGATGGCCCCGAGGCTCATGAGAAGGGTGTTGCTGGCCAAGAAGGGGATCTCCGCATCCAAAAGAGCCGCACCAAAGATACAACATGTTGAACCAATGCCGACCGGGAAGCACTTCCTGGTTGACGCCTGCACTGTCTTGCCCTTTCCGAACTGAAAAGCATCCACGCAAGGGTGGTGGTAGGTCTTGAGGGAAAGTTCTCCAAGGGAGTGATCATGGCGTTGGGACCAAGCCTTGCCTGCACAAGTCCTTTGGCACGCTGTGTCCAGAACCATGAGGGAGCCGAGCATGTCACCCATAACTTCATTGACGTGGAAGGTGACCCGGACCGCAAACATGCTCCCGAAATCTTCTTCTCCCTCAAGTTGAACTGGTGCTTGGTGACCGCTGTGGTGGAAAACGGACATCACCTTTTTCGCGGCTTCGGGCTTGTCCTTGAATCGCTTGTCCTTGCCCTTGCCGGGGCCTTTCCCCTTCTGAGCTGAAGCTGTACAGATATCATCGCCGGCCGAATGGCCGAGCTCGCCGCATGCTGAGCAGTGGGTTGTCTTCTTCAGCTCGGCGGGCGGTTTCCGGTTCCCGCTGAACTTCCCTCCCAAGGTTATCCCGCCTGTCACCGTCAGCACTTCGGCCAGCTGGCCGAGGTCCACGTCCTGCTCACCGTCGGCCTCCGTGGCCGCTTCTTCCTCCACCTCGGCCTCCTCCTCGTTCTCGGGCTCCTTGTACTCGGCGGGGAGCTCGTCGTCCTCATTGTCCTCCATCACGGTCTCCATCTGGTCGGTGACGTAGACGGACTTCTTGCCAGCGCCCTTGTGCCCCTTTGGAGAGCCCTTGTGCGCTGAATAGCCATGAGGAGGGGAGCCCTTGTGGTTCCGGTTGGCATAGTCCTTCCCAGCGCCCTTGTTGAAGTAGCCAGCCAGCGGTGGAGGCGGCTTGTGCTCCGGGTACTGCAGCAGGAGGGCGTTCTTGATCTTGTTGTAGGTGAGGTCCTGGCCGGTGCCCACCAGGATCATCCTCTGCTGCTCGGTAGTCAGCTTCGCCCTGTCGAGGAGGCGAGATCCTCGGCTCTCCTCGTCGTAGCTCTGGCGGATGTTGATGTTGACGGAGAGGAGGGACTGCTCGACCCGGGTGAAGTGGTTGGTGTAGTTCCTCATGCTCTCGCCGTTGGCGCGGCTGATGTTCTCCCAGTCGTGAAGGTACTGGCGCTTGAGATAGATGTGGTGCATCTCGAAGGGACCGCGAAGCCGCTCGATGATATAGTCCACGCCGCCGGGGGCATGGACCTCCTCGATGGAGGCGTGCTCGAGCTCGGCCTCTGCGTCGCCTTGGAGTGATAGGTACAGGGCAAGTCCGGTTTCCTTGTCTGTCATGTGGTTCTTGACCATGATCTGCCAAATCCTTGCCTTCTTCTCCCAGCGCTTGAAGGCCTGCGGATCCGATGACGTTGGCTTCCAGGGCGGTGGCGTTGGTGCTGAACCGCCTCGCCATCGAACTCCAGGTTGTGGACCCTTCGCTGAGGTCCATGAGTCGGCCTTCTCATCGTGCACGCTGTCGGGCGGATCGCCTCCTATTCCGGATGAAGCGGAGGATCTGGCAGGGACATCCCTGAGGCCTTTCTTGCCTTGTCGTGACCGTCGAGGTTGAACTCCACGCCCGCGGCCTCGACCTGGTCCGCCACCGGCACCACGATCTGAAGGCTCCACAGTGGGGTCGTTGGTGATCATCTCACTCTCGGCCTGCTCGCTACCTTCGCCGGTGCTGGACCCCGCTGACGGTGGCGGGCCACGATGGGCTCGCTTGCGGTCTCCTCCGGGAGGTCCTCGATGGCCTCGATCTTCATGAGGCTGTGGGTCCTGCCAGTCGGCGTCCCAACCATGCGGCTCTCCATGCTCGACTCCATTTCCATGTGCCCGTCGGGCATCTGGGGGTCCGGGACCAGGGAACGACGACGTGGTCCGGCCGGTACCTGATCGTCTCGACCTCCGTGAAAGCCTCCGCCTTGTGTGCCACCTGGGGTCTCCGCCAGACCTGGCGACGCGCCATCTTCTTCCTCTCCAACAGACGGGAGCGTGGGCTCAACCGCCTCTTCGGCTGCCTCGCGGTGAGCAGAGCTCGCACCGCATGGCGTTGCCGGCCATGAGGGCATAGTTCAGCGGGCCCTGGATCGTGATCGGCTCCGCCGGCTCCGCTGCCAACTCAACAGGCACTTGCTTGACGTGCTGTTGTGACCTAGTCGATGCGGGCCGCAGCAATGTTTCACCGCACCATAGCGCGAGATCCGCGCGAGTCGCAAAAAAGAGGTTTCAGCTCAGGGGCCCCTTTGGGCCGATGTGCAGCGAAGGTCGATGCCTGGCCATGCAGGGAACTTTCAACTACAACAAAGCTTCATCATGTGCGGCCCTCTCCGTACAGTACCACAGTGTCTTGCCCAGCAATTGCTGACGTTGACTCAACCAATAAAGCAGTGCTGATTGCGACTATTCAAGGTCTTCCGCTGCACAACTTGCACCTCAGTGCATTTGCTTCTATCACCTCAAATGGATGGAGGTCCACCGAATTTGACAATTTCCCAATCGACAATGGCTCCCAGAGGCCGATGTTGAAAGCTGATCACAGCTGTCCATCCAGGTCCTCCATCAA